CCCATACTGTGCGATCATTAATTGAGTGACGCATGGCCATGATTCTGTTGAAGCACTGAGGTACTGGCAAAGTGGATGACGGCCTACAGATTCTCACAGTCAATAATTATTTATCCAAGGATCCCGAAGCAGCGAGACTATGGGACCTTGTTCTGTGATGCAATACCTGTCAATGTCCACTGCAAATACCTTCCGGCAACGTGAAGAAACGTTTAATTTAAATGTTTCGTGTTCTGTAACATTTTCAGAATAGTGGAAGAAATTTCTGGTTTAAAAACTTCACCCAACGTGGAAATGGTAGCAGGTCTCATACCCGAATTGTCAGTTTCCATTCCAGACTGAAATGTTCTCGCACTACACGCAAGACTAAGTTTCTGAAAAATCAGCTAAATAATCAAGAAGCATATTGCCGAACAACGTTTCGTTTTTGACGCAAAACATCTTCATGCCAAGTGGATAGGTCACCAGTTTCACCGAGTTTTAGGACAGGTTGAGAACTAAATAATGAGACCTCTTATAACTATCCAAACCAATTAGTGCTGAATATTGCCAATGAATGTCGTTTTGAATCTATGCCTTCCACAAATTTAACTGGTATCTACGACGTTTGCGAGAGTCGATAGGTTTATTGTCGATATTGAAGTAAGATAGAATAGAGGGGCATATTGTACTCTCTATTCGTCTATTAACGTCAGTACATGAGCTAAAATTATAATGTGAAAATTAGCCGGTAATGATGTATGAAAGGTGCGGTTTTCATAGTCATGACACCAGGTAATTAAATATGAGGTTTGATGGGTTTTAGGTTGGTGAGATCAAGTGAATTTTAGTTTGACTTCGTACACTCGACTGAAATCGCTGCACGAAAAACAGCGCATTGTTACTTGTTAACTAGACTCAACGCGAGCCGATTTACACAAGTCTGCCAGTTTAATATCTTATATTCCATTCATGCTGCAATACTTTGCGGTTTCTTCCACCTCATCTACCAGTGGCTGCACTGTGACTCCTGGCCACAATACTTCCCAAATTCTAACCCGTACATCTCCCTTCTTTTGAGATCCATCCCTCTCACACAGAGCGACACCGGATTTATCGATCTGGGCAGCTCAGATGTAGTTGCCTGGAATAATGTTGACATCCGATTAGGTATTTACTTAACATTTTCGGAACTCACCATGAGTGAGAAACTCTGACCACAACGTCACCAAACCAGCGCGGTCTCTAACACTATTCAAACAACACTATTCTTCTCTGCTTGACATTAGCGACTTCATGGTGGATCAGTGGCATTGCCTGGTGAGGTGATTCATCTTTTGGAACTTGGCACACTTTCTTCAAAGTAGACATTTCTACTTGATCCTCACGTGTCTTGTTTTACAGCAGCCGCACGTGTCGGTCCTAATCGATTCAATAACATTTGGGTTGACTCTGGAATCACTCTGAATCTAACATCACGCTGGACTCTCAGCAGCCGCCTCATCGTTTTATAAGTCCATACATCACCCCAAAGAAAACTTGCAGAATTCCATCCGCTTCTGGGTGACAACTCTACCTTAAATTCATATGATTAATCTGCCTCCTGCGAGACCTTCCCTCATGCGTCCACAAAATTTGAACCAGTTCTGTGCTGAAACAGACCACTTGTTGGATTCATCACACTTTTGGTCTTCGTGAGAGAGTTGAATGAGTTCAGAAGTCTGGTTGGTTTGTTCTATGCATATCTTCTTGATAACTTCTTGATAAGTGTGAGTGGTTCATTGAGGTTTTCTGTTGGGCTGAACGTCTGACTTTGGTATTCGACCGCGCCGCCTTTTCTTCAAGGTGCTGGAAAACTGCATTCTGACGGTCGTTTGATTCTAGAATTAGTTAGCCATCGTAAATTAGCACAGGGTGAGCACAAGTATCGATTTTGTAGTCCACTTCGGGTCATTCGGAAGCAAGCTCACGTTTTAGTTTCCTATTTATCTTATCTATTGTACAGTAAGCGGAACTATCTTCATTTTCTTCTCTATTGGAGACCTTGTGCTTGTACATATGTGGAATACTAACAGCTAGAGACATGAACGAGCAGTGTGTTGATGCAGTTGAAATAAACACCGATTCATTACACCTTGGTCACTTGGTCGCTTGATTCATTGCGCAGGTTTGTCAATTATTAAGCCACATGCGTATGACATTAAAGCATACTAATCGACAGGTAACGAGGAGCTGTTCTCCAATTTTGAAGGGAATGATACAGATGATTCGGTCATTAAGACAGAGTGGCAAAAAAGGTCACGGTTGGTTCAGCAATGAAGGACACCAAAAATTCGTGTTTTTTTCTATCCTTACATTTCCGCTCGTAATTAATATCTTAGAGTGGTCAACTAATCCACTTCTCAATAAAGCCTTTGAGAGGAGCAATGCTCAGGTGAAAATGGGATGCTTTACATCAATCAACTGATCCACCTATTGGGCAGCACTTCCTATATAATTCCATAGTAAGATGGGTGGCATCTTACAGTTGTGCATTTGTCTGTTTGTGTCTAGCAAATGTGATGCATTAGGTAGATTCGCCATACTACTGTCCATAGGGGATGCATGCCGAATCAGTGTTGCTCCACGCTTTTCGCAAAACAGCGGGTGGTAACAGGGAATAGCTCTGCGAATGAGCAACCTCAAAGTCATGCACCCTGACATGCGATCAAACCAATAAAGTTATTGGGTGATATAAATTTGACAAGTTACTGCGTTTCCAATTATGGTAGTCAAATATAAATATTGAATCTCAAAGCAGTGAGATAACTAAAGACGAATCTGCAAGTCTAAACTTAATTGCACTAATGCTTTTTGGTGAAATACTCAAGGTACTGTTGTTGTATGATATCATGATTGGAGGTGAGTTTAAAATAACTAAATTCAGTATGTGACCTAGTCGAATCACTGAACTGCTACAAATGTCAGAAATGCCCGATTCCACATCGACCCTCACTTGAAGTTTCTGTATTACCCAATTGCGAAGCCTGTTTGGTAAGTCAATTTTGTTACCTCGATCATTTTCCCTGAGTCTCTCAGGATGAATAGGTCCGTTCCTTCTCAGAGTTGTGGTCCTTTCTCTCAACTAAACCCACCCAAACCCTATTAGTTAGACATATCACTGTTGCGGCCCGTCGTGGGTTTTACTATACGGTTGTTTCCGCGGGCAGCCAAATAGAGATCTAATCACAGGCACTTTGGTAACCCGAAAGAACCAATCAGAGGTTTTTTGTTCAATAGTATGCCTTAGTCTTAATGTAAGGTCCTCTTGGGGAAAGCTAATTGAAAGTGGCTGTCAAAATGTTGTTATAATACTGGAGTCACCAGCAAAGATTAGGTGTCATCTCACCAATATTACTTACAGTGACCCACAATCACATTGGGATTGAAAACAATTTGGGTAGGAAATTTTGGTTATTACACTCACGTCCAACTGTATTATATGCCCTAGCGTGAAAAGTCAGTTTTGTGCATACGCACAGCATCAGTGATGTGGCCGGTAAATATATTTCTTGGAAAGATCACCTCGAAACGCCACGCTGTACAGATCCTGTATGTTTAATCGTCAATGCTTAGATGCATATAATCCAAATCATTTTACTCAACTTCGAATCCAGTGATTTATAAATAATCATGAAAATGAACCTATTTTTGGACTGGTATCAAAATGCGTAGTTTGGACCTGAATGATCCAAACAAACGCAGCTGACAGATGACCATATAAGGGAACGGACATTTCGGGGAGAAAAATTCCCGCCATAAATAATGCGATAAACGGGACTTCCCAGCATTTTACATGCTCAGCACATTCTGGTGACAGAAAAAAAATACTATATCGAGATCACAATTTTTTCAAGCATTTTCTTCGTTTACATTTAGAATAGCATGATTCGGACATGGAGAGGTATTGTAAGATTAAGTTGACAGGACGTAAAAGGTCACGAATAGATGTGAAGTTTCGTGTAAAATGGTGGTACGACGCACCTGACTCACTAACCAACACAGCCGTTGTTCCTTCATTACCCGTGCTGTTAATGGTCCCATGTTTCTCTCGGCTGCTGCACTTGTTACGCCGATCCATACATCTAGTCAATTTATCGGAAAATATCATGTACTAAGTGCTGGTTACCTACTTGTTTACAAAAACTGAATTCTTTTATTTAGTAGGTTGCGTGTTCAGGCGTTTCTTTATGACAGCGAAGCGTCCACACATATTTAGCCGGAATCAGTCATCATAGTAATTGAATTTACCAAACTTTTTTCCGGCAGTGTTGGTCCGTCATGATAAAACCGTTTACGTTTCATTTATCCGTATGCAATAAACTAGAATTTCTTCCTTATTAGGTCGCTAAGTCAGACTTTTTAATTTAGTGCTATCCGACAAAACTTTTAGAAGGTTTCAGTTGTTCATAAAGCTAAGATAACAGGAATACTTGAAAGCTAGCTCATAAGTTCATCGTAGTCGGACCAAACGCCGGACGCGTTTCCCACGTTGCTCAAAGGACCGAAATTATGGACAATTCGAAAGTAATAATTAGACTTTTTCTGGCTTTCAAAAGTCTCGGGTGTACTGCTGGTCACACAATTCAGTCACGTTAAACAAAGAGGTGATTTTGTTCTTTGTTCATTTATGCCAATCCGCCCAATCATTAAGGCAGCCCAGACTTATGCCAAAAAACCATTGCGAGAAACAGCAATATTAATCACTTCCAGGAACCGTTCCCAGAGTTCACCGGGGAGGAAGTAAAGTTGGTTTATTTTCATTAAATCAGAGTATTCAACTAATCCATGTGACTAGTTCAAAGGTCTGAAAACATTCGCTCGATTTATCGAGGTTTTTTTAGACATTACATTACGAGTGATTCACGATCGGGATTTCCTTAACGTTTGAGGCAATATTGCCGCATAAAAATCGCATTCTCAAAACTTGAGACTTCAAATGTTAACCGAATTATGTAATGCAATTTTAATTAATCTCCCAGCAACAACATACGTTTTACAATGGAAAACTCGACCATGTAAGCCGCAACTGCGGGGAGTGTAAGAACAAAACAGAAGAAGTATTCGGTCCAAAAGTGTACAAATACTACTGCTGCTTTGAGGATTACTGTTTAGACCCAGCAACAACCACAAAAACAACCACAACAACAACTACTACCACTACAACCACAACACCAAAACCAACAACAACAACCACAGCAACAACACCAACTACAACACCAACAACAACCACAACAACACCAGCAACGACACCAACTACAACACCAACACCGGAAATGACAACAACACAAACCAAACCAACAACCACAGTAGCAGCAACAGCACACACAACTGCAAGTACAAGAGTAACAATAGAAGATATAACATTGCATAGTACACAAGAGATGATATACACCGCAACTGAAACACCAGACCATGGTTGGAGAACGACCATTAGTAATACAGAGAGCTCAATTAAACAAACCGAAAACCCGCCAGCAGATGAGAGCATGGAGACCTCCACCGGAAACGGGTCGGAGCAGACAACACCAGAACGCACAAATAGCATGAGCGAAACAACCAATAAAATACAAACAACCACCAACGTAACTGCAGGAACAGAACTTACAACACAAGAACCAACCGAGGCAACTACACAGAAGACCATCGAGATTAATGTCACAAGACCAGTCACAAGTTTGCAAACATCAACCAGCATGGAAGTCTATTCAAACAGCCCAATCCATTCAACGTACTCAGCCGAGTCTGAGGAAAACTCAAAGTGGTCGACACTAGAGAAATCACAATTCGTGAGTTCAGCAGACATGCAATACGAAATTCCAACAGTGCCCAGTACACAAAGTGCAAGCTTTACTCGAAATAGAACAAAAGACCGTAATATAGAAACATCCCCCAACATAGAACTATATTCAACAAACCCAAATGATATCACTAGGGAAGGTGAAGCGGTGGAAAATTCATTGGGGACAACACCACAGAATTCACATTCTCCGAGTTTCTCAGATATACAGAATAAAACTTACACGGTGCCTTATAAAGAAAACATGACTTTCGCTCAAACAACAACATCGATGATTATTTCGCAAACGCTACCTAACATGGAAGGCAAGACGGTCACAACAACTGACACAGACAAAACCGAGGAACCTTCAGATGATACAACTGATTCAAGTTCAGAGAAGACACAGCGCCCGATTTCCACAGCCATGCCAAACGGAAGTTCAACAGAAAAGCCGCCCTCCACTCTAAACGCGAAACCGGAATCGAGTTTGCAAACTTTACCCAGCTTTCAACCTTATGCTAGCACAGCAAACAAGAACACTGAAACACATGAAACCGTAGACAATCCAACAGTGACAAAAATACAGGAGTCACCACCCCAGACAGGCATGCCAGATGAAAGTTCAGCGCTGCCTAGTACAGAAAATGCGGCCTCCTCTCCAACTGCGACACCGATGTCTAGTTCGCAAACATCGACCGGCATGGAAGACTTTTTAACCATCCCAACCCATACCACAAACACAGATGCATCTGAGGAAACTTCAACGGGGTCGACACCAGTGAAATCACAATCCTCGAGTTCCGCGGACAGGCATTATTTAGCTTCAACAATGCCAAGTACAGAATATTCCACCTCCGCTCTTATAGCAACACCGGAGTCTAGTTTGCAAACTTCACCCAGCTTTCAATCCCATGCTAGCACCGCAACCAGGCACATTGAAGGACATGAAACTGTGGACAATTTGACGGTGACAACAACACAAGAATCCCATCCTCCGATATCCACAGGCATGCCAAATTATAATTCAGCCATGCTTGGTACAGAAAAGGTGACCTCCGCTCTACGCGCGACACAGACGTCCAGTTCACCAAAATCAGCCAGCACAGAAGTCTACTCAACCAGCCCAAACCATACCACGAACACGGGCGAATCTGAGAAAAATTCAACGTGGTCAACAGAAAAATCACAATCCGCGAGTTCCGAGGACACGCAATACAAAAGTCCAACAGTGCCCAGTACACAAAATGCAAGCAATACTGGAAATATAACAAAACATTATGGAATGGAAACATCATCCAGCCTAGAAATCTATTCAACAAACCTAACAGAAGCCACAACGACAACAACAACTGAACCCGCGACAACAAGGACAATACCAGTAATCACAACAACAAAACACGAACGAGAAATTCCAACAACAGAAGCCACAAAGACCACCACGAACAAACTAGTTACAACGCATAAGCCAAAAAGGCGTAATACACAAGAGAGAAGTCACATTCCAACTGAATCACCGGACGGTATTTCACAAACATCAGCCAGCATGAACACCAACGCAACTAGTCCATCGGAGGACACAAAGACAGATGGATCCCTGGAAAGTACATGACTTTCGCTCAAACAACAACATCGATGATTATTTCGCAAACGCTACCTAACATGGAAGGCAAGACGGTCACAACAACTGACACAGACAAAACCGAGGAACCTTCAGATGATACAACTGATTCAAGTTCAGAGAAGACACAGCGCCCGATTTCCACAGCCATGCCAAACGGAAGTTCAACAGAAAAGCCGCCCTCCACTCTAAACGCGAAACCGGAATCGAGTTTGCAAACTTTACCCAGCTTTCAACCTTATGCTAGCACAGCAAACAAGAACACTGAAACACATGAAACCGTAGACAATCCAACAGTGACAAAAATACAGGAGTCACCACCCCAGACAGGCATGCCAGATGAAAGTTCAGCGCTGCCTAGTACAGAAAATGCGGCCTCCTCTCCAACTGCGACACCGATGTCTAGTTCGCAAACATCGACCGGCATGGAAGACTTTTTAACCATCCCAACCCATACCACAAACACAGATGCATCTGAGGAAACTTCAACGGGGTCGACACCAGTGAAATCACAATCCTCGAGTTCCGCGGACACGCAATATTTAGCTTCAACAATGCCAAGTACAGAATATTCCACCTCCGCTCTTATAGCAACACCGGAGTCTAGTTTGCAAACTTCACCCAGCTTTCAATCCCATGCTAGCACCGCAACCAGGCACATTGAAGGACATGAAACTGTGGACAATTTGAAGGTGACAACATTACAGGAATCACAACTCCCGATTCCCACAGACATGCCAAATGAAAGTTCAGAGCAGCCTGGTGCAGAAAAGGCGATCTCCACTCTAACCGCCACACCGATGTCCAGTTCCCCAACATCAGCCAGCATGGATCTTTATTCAAACAGCCCAACACATACGACGTACACAGATGAGTTTGAGAAAAATTCAACGTGGTCAACACCAGAGAACTCACGATCCTCCGGTTCCAGAGACATGCAAATTGAAATTTTAACCTTGCCGTATACAGGAATCTCAGCGTCGGCTTCAACAGCAACACCAAGCACCAGTTCGGAAACTTCACGAAACTTTCAACCCCATGCTAGCACAGCAATCAAGAACGCTGAAACACATGAAGCTGTAGACAATCCAACAGGGACAACAATACAGGAGCCACCACCCCAGACAGACATGCCAGATGAAAGTGCATCGCTGCCTAGTACAGAAAAGTCGACCTCCGCTGTGACGGCGACAGCGACGTCTAGTTCCCAAACATCAGCCAGCATGCAAGTCTATTCAACTAGCCCAACCCATACCACAAACACAGATGCATCTGAGACTAATTCGATGTTGTCAACATCAGAGAAATCACAATCCTCGAGTTCCGCGGACACGCAATATTTAGCTTCAACAATGCCAAGTACAGAATATTTCACCTCCGCTCTTATAGCAACACCGGAGTCTAGTTTGCAAACTTCACCCAGCTTTCAATCCCATGCTAGCACCGCAACCAGGCACACTGAAGGACATGAAACTGTGGACAATTTGACGGTGACAACAACACAAGAATCCCATCCTCCGATATCCACAGGCATGCCAAATTATAATTCAGCCATGCTTGGTACAGAAAAGGTGACCTCCGCTCTACGCGCGACACAGACGTCCAGTTCACCAAAATCAGCCAGCACAGAAGTCTACTCAACCAGCCCAAACCATACCACGAACACGGGCGAATCTGAGAAAAATTCAACGTGGTCAACAGAAAAATCACAATCCGCGAGTTCCGAGGACACGCAATACAAAAGTCCAACAGTGCCCAGTACACAAAATGCAAGCAATACTGGAAATATAACAAAACATTATGGAATGGAAACATCATCCAGCCTAGAAATCTATTCAACAAACCTAACAGAAGCCACAACGACAACAACAACTGAACCCGCGACAACAAGGACAATACCAGTAATCACAACAACAAAACACGAACGAGAAATTCCAACAACAGAAGCCACAAAGACCACCACGAACAAACTAGTTACAACGCATAAGCCAAAAAGGCGTAATACACAAGAGAGAAGTCACATTCCAACTGAATCACCGGACGGTATTTCACAAACATCAGCCAGCATGAACACCAACGCAACTAGTCCATCGGAGGACACAAAGACAGATGGATCCCTGGAAAGTTCAGTGGGGACAACAATAGAGAAATCACAATCCCCGAGTTCCATCGCCACCCAAACACAAAGATCACAGGAGCGTGGTACAGAGGACTTGTTCTCCATTCAACCTAAAACACAGGCTGGTAGACCGCAAACATCATTGATCATTAACACCAAAGCAACCAGCACCACCGAGGATACCAAAACAAGTGAGCCCATGGAAAGTTCAGTGGATACTGCACTAGGAGGATCAGAATCCCCGAGTTCCATCATCACCCAAACACAAAGCTCACCGGTGCTTGGTACAAAGGACTTGTTCTCCACTCAACCCGCAACACAGGACGGTAGTTCACAATCATCATTCATAACGGAAACCGATGCAACCAGCCCAACCATGAACACCAAAACAAGTGAGCCCGTGAAAAGTTCAGTGGGGACAACACCAAAGGAATCACAATCTCCGAGATTCACAAACATCCAAACTGAATATTCTACAGTGCCCAGTACACCTCACTCGTCCATCATCATTCCAACTATGACACCAGACAGTGGGTTGCAAACATCACTCAGCATGAAAACCAACGCAACGAGCCCAAGCGTGCACACTTCCATTTTGCAGACTTCGTTACCACCTCGTTGTAGGAGATCCGGGGGGTCCATCTATCTGCCTATCGTAAAGTTATACACAATCAACTTGGTGACTTCATGCTTTCATAGGCTGACAAATCTTCTATAGCCAACATGTGATTCTCGTTGCTTTGCTTCTTCGTTTACTCTGTTTACTTCATTTTCAAATCGTAAAAATCCATACATGAAATCATGATATCATCCAGTTCAAAATTTGTTTTTAATTTTCCTTGTGTGAACTAGAATATGTTGGCGACGCTTAATTTCAAATGCGGATGCCTCCATGTAGCACGCCCGACCTACATTACTGGATGCTATTTTAGAAATTAATGTGCGATGAATTCCTGTAGCGATTTCAACAAATAGTGTGACCAAACGCCAACGACTACCACTGTTGGTGTGCGGTCCCCGAAATAAATCAATAGGGGCTTTGAGAAAAAATACGATCTCCACATCATCCCTCTGCAACCTTCAAGGTAGATGATGAACATGAGGAAGACATCGTAACAAATTGATGGATACGCATTAAGTGGCGAGAGAAAATTCAAAACTGGCGGCCAGCTCACGAGAACTAGCTCAGATAAAAATCTACTTGCGATGGGTATTCCGACGAGTGGGTTTTCAGGTAGATCCATTGTTTGATAGACAGCTTTGCGTTCACAGAAAACATATCAATCTGCCAACAGTTGGCTCTGAGTTACCCCCAAGAGGCAAGTGAATTAACACACCCAGCAACATTCAAGACAAACTCCATATGAGCTCCTTGTGTTTTGGCGGCGCATTGGCCGCTTTTCTGTCGAAGTCTCTCAGTTCCTACCCCACACTTATTTGCTCAGCTCAAACGCAAATAAATGCAAAAAACACGGTAATTCTTTCGTAAACGAGACATGCATCATCTGCCGCTATATGAAGTTGTGCACATCTTCTGTCATGCGCCTCAAACACATCGCAATTTTAATCGTTTAATATGGATGGACAAGGGAACAATGAGAGTTAAATCCGTATTCTAGATACAAATATTGTGCGGGAGGCGAAAGAGAAAAAATCTCACCGAAAATTGACATTCTTCTAGAATTGTCTTCTTTGGATTGTCAGTTGATTAGTTTCACTCAAATATAGCTTTGGGTGTGCACATGAATCTTCGGCCGCAACAAAGGTTTCTATGACTTCAAAATTGTGTTTTGGTAATATCTAATAAGAGTCTCCTTGAGAAGTTCCATTTTCCTCCGTGTCAGTCCTTTTGTCACGTTCTACCTCAGTCATCCGATCACCCGGAGACAAATGTTTAGGGTTCACGATCACATGCACCAATAAACTGTCTAGTAGAAAAAGCCGATACATTTGTCCGGAAGCGTTCGTTTCTACCATGACCAACTCGGCATGAAAACTTTGTAGAGCTTAACGGCCCTATGGAGTCTCCAGTGAACTGAACAAACTAATAATGTAAGCCAGATACAAAGTCACAAGGAGAAAAATCCAAGCAAATCTTGACTCACAGTTCAAAATGAGATTCCGTAGTTCCGTATTCCGTTGAACCTCCACACCAAGAATAATTCTATCTTCCTGGTATTCCAGATCTCCGGTGATCGAAATATTATTCCACAAATGTGAATATATTAGTCCAGTGTTTGCAGCTGAAATGTTTGTTCACGTTTAGTGTTAGCGGCGGTCAAATATAGCCAACCGGCGGTCACAACAACAGTCACTCAGCAAAAGTCTCAAAGTCACGTTGGAGCCAATGAGTGGGCGGTAGCGGTTGTACAGCGATGTGACTGATAATGATGTGGAAAAAGAAGATGATACTGAGCATGAAAAAGAGCAGTTTACAAGTGC